AATAGCTTTCTACTTCATGTCTCATGTGGGTTGAGATATAGAGATGCCAAGGTACAGAGAGATGCCATGGCATGCAGACTTGCGCTACAGAATGGCGGGTTCAGAGTGTATGGCAGATTCCTGCCACTGTACACAGTGGCATCTGCAAGCCATACAGCATGCAGCATGGTGGATATAGCTTTTGCTAGTACAGACAAAAAAAAAAAGGAAAGAAAAAAATGGTTTTGGGGCTATATGCTGCTTTGATGGACGTATAGACCCACTGTTTCCAAGAGTTGGTGATGCAGAGCTGGCAGTAAATGTACCACTGTCATATTGGAAAGCTGAGGTGGGTGGAGGCAGCACTAGTCACTGCAGTTTAAAGCAATAGATTTACAATAAGGCGTATTCAGATGGAATAAGACTTTAAATGGTTTACAGTGTGTGTAAAAATGTATGTAGGCTTAGAAGAGAGAGGAAAATGAATATAGACAGTTATATAAAGAAACAGATAATTTTAAAAAATAAAGTTTTTTAAAGAGGTAGTAAAAGTAATATAAAAATAAGCCACGTAAAAATAGAAATCACACACAGAGTCTGGATTATATCATCTTTGGGATTTTTAACTGCAGCGAGACATTTAATTATAAAGACTGCTAAATTAAACCAATATATGTATTTTAAAGGTATCTTGACTTCAAAATTTGGATCTAAGGATATGTTGCTTTGAAAAGGAGGCCCTGCTTTTGTTTCCACAGGAAGCAAGAGGCTATGGATTTGTTCCATGTTAAGATGGATCAGATTTGATCAAATCAGACCTTCTGAAACTTAGCTGTTGGTACCTATCAACAAAGGTTATAGCCAGTCTTTCCAGGACTTAACTATTATCTCAAATTTTCTCAGGATCCCCATAAGACTACCAGCACCCCCATCAGCAGGAAGTAGCCTAGAATACTACTTTCACATTCACAAAAAAATGGAATATGGATGTTTGTCTTTGTTCAGGTTGTTGGTTACAAATTGTTATTGGTCATAGTCAATCTCTTTCTAAAAGAAGAAAGGGGGATGTGATATAGAAGTATAGGATATAGATATGATAAGATAAAAGGGTAGATTATTGAATCTACTTTTAAAGAGCACCGACTTGCTTAAAATGTTTTACATTGCTATGGATTTTGTTTATTGACACAAATTTAAAGTTAATTTTGTTATTTCTACTCTTGTTTAAAGTGTTTTGTCTGTGCAACTCATTTGAAATTGTAGTGTACAGTTGAGAAATACAGATTAATTATTAGTCATCTATGATAATCAAACTTTAAGTCGTGTTAGTTAAGTTTTCTAGGTATACATAGATATATTTCAATTAGGTAGGTAATCTTCAAACACTTCAAAGACCTACAGAATATGGCATTTAAAATGTTTTAAAAACTTAGACTTTCCTGGACAATGAGACATGTCTGTTTCTGGCAGCAGTGATTTACTTCAAAGAGAAAGATGGGTATTGAAGACACTCCATATGGAGTTTATCTCTTGCCTGGACTGCTTGACAAAATGTTGTATCAACTGGACATGCCGGACCCATAGAAAGGTGACCAATGAATTTTGCAAGGCAAGATGGTCCTTCAGGTTCCTGCTTTACAGGAGACTGCCAGATATTCTACAGGACATAGAGAGAAGTGACTGAGAGAGAGAGACTCTAGGCCTGTAAGGCTGAGGATAGATGCCCCAATGTTGCAGAGGAACTTTGGATGACTGTCCAGGCAGGCAGCTGTCTCTGTCATTTCCAGAATTTTGGAAGTTGCTTACAACACATTTCCAGTTTACTTAGGTAATATTATATCCTTCTGGGGGTCTTTGATGTAGTTGAAGACTAGATAGCTATAATTTTCCTTGGTTATGATAAAAGATAAATTAGATAGACTCACAAATATAAAATAGAATATTTTCTTTAGTTTTTCCAAATATAGACTAGATATTATAACTTGCTTGATAACTGTTTTGTTATATGTAATTTTACTATGTTAAAGTAAAACCTTCCTTTTTGATAAGATAGAAAAGGGGAAGTACTATTCTGTATGCTATGACTATGTGTTGTTCTGATTGATTGATAAAATGCTGATTGGTTAGTAGCCAGACAGGAAGTCTAGGCAGGACAAGAAGACAAAGAGAATTCTGGGAAGAGGAAGGCTGGGTCAGGAGTCACCAGCCAAACACAGAGGAAGCAAGATGTCAAGGTAGAACTGAGAAAAGGTACCAAGCCATGTGGCTAAAATTAATAAGAATTATGGGTTAAATTAAGTGTAAGGGCTAGTCAATAATAAGCCTGAGCTAATGGCCAAGCAGTTATAAATAATATTAAACCTCTGTGTGATTATTTTATAAAAGGTTGAAGGACTATGGGTGAGAGATTTATCCTGGCCATGGGTCAGGCAAGACACAGGAAAACTTATGACTACAGCAGAGTGGCCTCTCCTGGGTGGTAGCACCAGAGACATGCTCACACAGAAATTAGCAGGCACCACTGTCTGAAATCATTTTCCAATGCCCAGCTGCTCTGCAGGAACCTCTTCTTGGGGAAGCAGCCCCCTGACTGGAGCACCCACAGTATCCACCTTCTGACGGAACAGCAGCCTTACAAGATATTCTGTTGGCAGTTCCCCTCTGTCACCAGTAGTGTTTCCTCCTTGGGTTCCTCCTCCCTGATGGAACAAGAGTAAGAGTGATGGGGTTCTGTTCTGAGGAGGGACTGGAGACTCATTGTGTCTAGCAGGGGAAAGAGCAGTGGTCCTCAGACTCTAGCAAGCATTCCAACCAGCAGAGAACTTGCTGTGGGGTGTGGTAGCGATTCGTCTCATTCCCAGATTCTAGTTTTTACATGTAGGTGGGACCTGAGACCAGCACTTGGGACAGTTCTCCAGGTAATCTGGAGTTGCTGATTGCAGTGGCCCTGTTATGTGAACCTGTGCCTTCATGCACTGTGTGCCTGAGCACAGAAATGTACCTGAGCACAGAAATGTACCTGTTGATATTGAATGAGTGCTTTGACCCTGAGAAGCTTGATTCAGGACTAAGAGCTAGTTCTGGCTGGGGGTTAAAACCACCACACTCCCTGATCCAGATACTGCTATGCTGTGGGACAGGAAGGATATGGTCTCCATGGCTCCTCTGCTGGCTTTGGCTGTCCCTCCACTGTTCCACAGAATTCAGTTCCAACTCAGTTCCAGCCAACATTTCTTTTCACATATCTTCACTTGGCCTATGGTGAATTGTACCTTCTCCTTGCCTGAGAAAATGTAGTCTCCTTTCTAGAAAAGCAATTGTCCACCTGCATTCAGAGACAGGTTCGAGGATATTCTTTACAGCACCTGAAAATCAGCTGCTGCAAACCACCAGTCTGTCTGTTGAAAGGGATGCTGAGTACCAGGCAGCAGACAAAGAGGTGCTGAATGTGCTCATATGAATGACCCCAACACACAGAGGAAAAAAGAAAGTGACAGAGGAACAGGTCCAGGATTTCTTATTAAGAAAAAAAAAATCTTCCAAGATAAAGAGCACAGAAATGCATATTTTTATTTAAAATAATTTTTTCATACAATATATTCTTATTAAGGTTTCTTCCCAGATCATTCCCACTTCCACACCAACCCAAATCCACACTTTCTTTCTCTCTTTCTCACTAGAAAACAAGCAGGCATATAATAATAATAACAACAACAACAATAATCCTAATCCTTGGCTCTAGTCTCAATTTCTTCTCTTCCATCTAAAGAACTAACCTTCACCCTGCATTATTTCCCACCATCTGGCTGACACTCCATCATTGTCTGCACTTCTTCAATTCTCAGCTGTCTTCCCACAGGCTGACACCAAACTCTGTTCTCACTGAGGTCACCTAAGAGGACACTGGGAACACTGGACACTGTCCCCACTCAGCCCTCCCTGTGTGGGCCCCTAACTCATTCCTTCCCTCCTGCCACTCCCTGTGTTACAGATATATAGGTTTTATAGTGTAATTTCCCAATAGTTTTCTACCAACGCTTTCATGAGAATCGCATGAAAATGAAGGCAATGGCCTGGAAAACGAGGCCATTGCGGCGAGGTTAGTAAATATTTGGTAACTGGGAATTTCTCCTAACCTCCCATCTAGATCTCTGGAGAAACACACTTTTGATTTCCATTGCTTGTACTTGCACATTTTTCATCAGACTAACCACTAGCAATGTAGGCCCATCTTATGTGACAACTATCAGATATCTCCACAGCACTGGATCTCCTAATTACCGCATGTATGTGGAAAGGGTTCATTTTAATCAATTTGTGCCACTTCGTTAAGCTACTTATTATCAGATTTATGATAATCTTCAGTTTAGTTCCATGGTATTAAGATAAAAATTTGAATGCTCTTTTCAAAAAATTATCTTTTCATTGATAACTCGCTTATTTTTTATCGAGTTCAAAGCAATGTGGAATTGCTATGGTCATAGATGGCCTTGCTGTTCTCTTTCTTGGTTTTTATTTTAAGAGCTACATGATGATCTGCTTATAAAAGCATAACTTTACCAGAGTTCATAGCCAAATTATTCTACTTTTATCCTCTGAGGAATTTTTTAGAATGAAAAAAAATGGGTATTGATTTTCATTAAATTATTTGAGCAGTTCTTATTTTTTTTACATTCTGTTACTCACATTTCTTACTATTAACCTTTTATTCACTGGACACATCAGACAGACTTATGATAAATTGTAAATTGGATGTACTATAGGAGTCTAGTGATTTTTTGATCATAATCTTTTGTATCTCTAATAGATACTTGAAAATCATGGGTTAGGTCTGAAGACTGTAGTAAATCTCTACATTTTTTTTTTACAAAACATAACAGATAGGCATTTAAATACCTGTCTTCATAAAGTTATTAGGACTTAGCTTTCTGATTAGTTTTTCAGCATCCCTTTCTTGGGAGGACACCTCATACTGCAGATATGGTCACTGTCCTCTTCCAACCACCATGAATGCAGGTCCAGAGATGCAGACTTGGCTCCAGGTCACTAACTTCTTTGAGGAAGGATTCCAGGAATTAGGATGTGGCTCACACTCACCTGGCACGATCCGTTTTTCTCTCTTTCCTCCAGGGTCAAACACACAGATCTCGGTGTCAGGGATGCGTCTGCAGAAGTGACGCTTTGGGTATGTCTTGTTTTTACAATACCGGTAGCACTAGATGAGGTGGCGGTCTGTGATGACGCCAGGCTCTTCGGTGGTCCACTGACGGGAAAAGACATTCTTTGTTCTTGTTTGCCCTTCTCCTCCCACCTTCTGTCTCTCCTTGTCCTTCACTACCTGGACGTAGTCCCTTTCCTTTTGTGTCACGTGTTCCTTTGCCCTCTCTCACGCCCTCCATCTTCTGTGTAGATCAGTCTCTCCCACCTCATGGTCCCTTTCTATATTCCTGTCTTACACACACATACACACATTCACACACGTTCTGCACATGAGAAAACATGTTTATCTTTATTGGTCTGTCTTATCTTACTTAACGCAATGATCTCTACTTTTATCTCTTTTTCTCTGTTTTTACAGCCAAATAAAAGTCTGCATTGACTATGGACCACATAATCTTTATCTATTAGTCTGCTCCTGGATATCTAGATTGGCTCCCTGTCTTTGTCACCATGTAACAATAGACTTCTGTGGATATGCACCTCTCTCAAACCACAGGAGTGCCTCTGGGGTAAACCATTCCTTTCTGCTGGCATCCTGACTCCGCACACCAAACTCCATCCCGGGGTGAGCTTCACCAGAGACATACCTCCTGCTCATGTCTTCAAGAATAGACTGAAGAGGCTGCAACATTAGGAAAGAGAAGCAGGAGGCTTTTGTGTTCCCATCACTCCGTAATGAAACAGTTACAAGTTTAACATTCAACACTTTTAAGTCACAAGGCTGGGATATGACACAAGGGGAAGACACTATCTGCTTCCCCTGAAACCCCCCTTTACACTGGGAGAAATTTAGAACATGCTGCCTAAGTATCCCCTCTGGGAATGGATCAGATACCATCAAACACCATGGTGTCCCTACATGGTCACTGCATGAGGACAACCAGTGGCTTTTGCTGTGTGAAACAGACAAGGGACTTGGCCTCTGGCTATATCTCTGGGTTCCATTTGCTCAGTCATGCCTGCCACAAAGGATGTGAGCCTTTGAACACCAGCACCATGACCCTTCCACACACCTTTCTGACTCCATCTTTCTCCCTCAGGCCTGTGTTTGAATATCTCTTCTCAAGTAGGTTTTCACTGAGTCCTCTCCTCAACAGCAGCCCTGATTAAAATACTCTCTGGATGCTTTCTCTCACTTCCGGGATTTTTTTCCTAGCAATTTTTCACCAACTGACCCTACACAGTTAATTCATCTGTAATCTGGTGTCCTTGCTAACACATAAGGTCCAACTGGCTACTATTTTTGCCAGACTGAGTGCTTGCTAAAGCCCCTGTACACAGGAAACAGCACCAGGGATGTAGAAACACTCAATACTTTTTATAGAATAAAAAAAGAGTAAATGAATATATAGGTAAATAGTTACCAATAACCTTACTTTTCCCAGCTGATGCCTTGAGACATACTGACAATATCAGCAGACACAAGGCAAAAACAGCAACCCTCCTGTGAACTGGAATAGATCTAGGACTAAATGAACCATTAGTGGATCTTAAATTATGCTTTTGTTAGAGGAAAACAGTTACGCCATATAGAATAAAAGCTACCTCTAAAGAAAGATAGGCCTGGTGGTCAGAGCTCGGAACCCCTCACTTCTTCTAGGCTATTTACATATTCACCACAGAAAACACTAAGAATGGGGGTTTGCTTTACTCATAATTGCTAAGCACAGGAAACAGCCCCGTTGCTCTTCATTAAACAAGCTGTCAGGGCCCTTCAAAGGAATAAAACCAATAGAAAGGAACAAAGGGGAGGAAGGGCGAGAGATAAGGAGAAAGACAGAGAGAGGACTTCCATGTCTGAAGGCCACAAAGGCAGGATCTGGTGGTATGGGCCAATCTGAAGTCAAAGCCCAGGAAGAGACAATGGTTCGATTCAGACCTGAAGGCAGGAACAGCCCGAGGCTTTGGCTTGGAGACCATCAGATGGAAAGCATCTCGTACTTGGGAGACAGTGAGCATTTCTGTTCCTGTCAAGTCCTCAGCTGGCTGGACCAGATTCTCAATATTCTGAAAGGCACCGAGTCCGTGTATTTAAATGTTAATTTCATTCCATCCACAATAGTGTTTCCGTGACTAAATACCTGGGCCCCTGCAACCCAGTCAAGTCGACACACAAATAAACCACACCACTGAAAGTTACTTTGCTGTGGGAAAGTGGGAGTCGGGTGGGTAACTGTTTAGTAGAACTTGAGTAACTCTCAAGGGAGTTGAGTTACATTTAAAAAAGTCACAAAAGGTCACGCTGTGTGGTGTGATCCTCTTTATATATGATATTCTCTTTTGCACTGCTTAATTATCTACCACTGAGCTGCATCTCCAGCCTTTGGACTTTTGAGACAGGATCTTACTGACTGTGTAATCCAGTCTCTCCTCTGTCTCCTGAGTTCCAGGTATTACAGGCTCCACTATGACTGATTCACATAACATTAATACGTGGCGAAAAATAATCACATGTTGTAAAATAGTTTCGCAGATTTACAATTAGTACTTGTGACAGGAAGGAGTAGGTTAGGTGATAAAAGGGCAATCTGAGAAACAGATTATATCTTATATCCTAGTAGATATAAGAGTCAATTTACACAAGTGATAGAATAGCATGGAAATACACACACACACACACACACACACACACACACACACACACACACACACGAAAAATCTGAGAACTCAGAATATTGATGCTTTCTGTTCATGTCAGTATCCTAATTTTGATATTGCACTAAGGTTTTGTAATCTGGCACCACTGGGAAAACTGAGTAAAGAATATGCAGCATTTATGAGTCTATAGGTAAGCTAAAAACAAAACATTTAATTTCAAAGTAATTTGTTGGCAAGGATAAAGAACCTGCAACATTCCCCTCATTTGGCTGGAATTCAGCGTTCTTCCTGGAGCACGCGGCCACCAAAAGTCAAGAGAGGCAAGACCAGCATCAGCGCCTCTGGCTCCTCCGCTACGGCCCATTCCACTCCTTCTATTTCTTCTTCCCCATTGGCTCCTTCTTTTCTCAGTAAACGCAGGCAGTTTCCCGGAGAACACTCCTTCTGAAAACACACTGTACATGTAAGATGCTCACAGTGGACTCTTTATTGCCCTCCAGCCCCTTCCCTCTCCGTGAGTTAAGGGTCCCTTCCCCTGGCTTATCCCTTCTGCCTTGCTTCCAGCCATCGTTTCCTTTGTCAAATCCCCTTCCTTTGCTTCCAACTCCACCGTGTCTCTGGCCACACACTTTGGTCTCTGAGACTCCTCCTTACAGACTGGCCTTCAGCTTATCCCTCCTTTCCCCCACTACGGGCAGCTGTGCCACCACTGTGTGCCACCAGCCTGCCCCACACCTTCCAGCCGCGGCATGATCTCACGTCACCTCACTCTTGGCATCCTCTCTAGACACTAGGAATCACGTAGTGAACTCTGAAAGTGTTGATGTCTTGGCCACACTTTCTGATGTGAGTGATCTCATGGATAACCTGGGTACAGAATATTTAAAGCTCTCCAGGTGGTTTCTGTAAAACTTGGGAGCCACCGTTCCAACGTTTCCAGATCTATCTCTCCACCGTTGCATTCCTAGCTCCAAAACAAAGCCTTACGTGTAGTTAAGAGTAAACGCTTCTCAACACAATGATAGTGATTTATCACTATCTTCATGGAAACCCTTGGGCCATAGAGTCCATGAGCCTCTCCAGGTGCACAGGCTGGAGAGAGTAGCTCATGGTCCTTGGGGTGCAGCCAGGCCTGGTGGCCATGGGCCCTGTTCTTTCCCGCTGTGCTTGGGCCTGCAAAGCTGCGCCCCCAGGGCAGAGGCCCGAGTGCACTGGTCTGGCTCACACAACCTTCTCCTGTTCCCAGTAACATTGCAGACTCAGCCTTTAGAGCTTGAGCTTGGCAAACTTGGACTTTTCCCTTTAGAGCTAGAGCCAGGACGTCAGATCTGGTGAACTGCGGAGGAATCCGCATTCTCCAGATGCCGGCACATGTGTTCCTGCCATGGCTGACATGCGGCTGCCAGCTGTGCATGCTGGGCTTGGAACGAAAATGCCACTGGTGAGGACAGTCAAGTCCCACGCTCAGCAGCCCTGTGCCCACACCTGATGTGCTCCAGCCAGACGATTTTACTGTCCTGACTCCGGAAGAAAAATATTCCAATAATGCAGATGGGAAGGCAGGCTCGTTTCCTCTCACTGAAGTATGAGTTCTTGATTGGAAGGGTTGGGGTCCTTTGACATAGGTCTCAAAAATAGCAGAGAATTTAGGACCCAGAAACGTCACCAATGACCTCATCCGACATGTGAGGATACTTAGGCATAAGTATGGAGAAATTAAGTGTTCAGGGTTCAGGGTCAAATGCCTAGCTGCTGGCAGATCCGGGAACAGAACTCACAGTGACTGGAAGAACATTTTAAAAGCTGTTTCAACATGTTTCATCAAATAACCACCATGACGGGATTAGTTCTCTCATATGAAGAGACACGAAGCACAAAGCTTGCTTCCTCCCTCTCTCAGCCATGGGAGCACCATAGTTTTAAAATTGCTTTGAGAAATGACTTTATAGTTGGCAGTGGTGTTTTGGTTCTGAGGCAGTTGTGTGACTATTGAGAGGTCTATACAATAATTATGTCAGGTTCATTTAGAATTTGAAATATGAAATCAATATGCTCAAGTAAAGCCCTGTTGCTTTAAATTTGATTTGAAAACATCAGGATAAACACACCCTATTTAAGAAATTACTTATTTCCTGGTGTTGTCCACTGAAAAAACCTGGAACAGTTAAAATCCCACAGCAGCGGGTGCCAATGATACCTCAATTACAGTTTCTAATTTTCTTTTTCCACCAGGATATCCAGGTGCCGTGGAAGCTGGATGATGTAGCTCTTGGTCAGGACTGTCCCTGTGAGCTGGAAGCATCTCTGTGGGAGGACAAGAACGCCATCTTCAGTCCCCAGGGATGGGGGCGGGTCAGAGAGAGGCCCACAGAAGCTGTTTGGGACCGTCGAAGGGCTCTGCCAGTCCCTACTTTTCCTACAAATTGTAGTGGAGTCATGCAGACCGGAAGAGAGTAAGTGGGTGGGAATTTCTAGAAAAGACACTAGAAGAAACAGACTAACAGGAGTTGAAGAACTGCCATGTGACAGACAGAGAGGCTGGGGACTGAACCTTCAGAGGACCGACACACTGAGCCAGGAGGTTGTCCTGCGCCAATCTCGGCTCTCACAATGAAGGGTGGGGGAAAGTGGTGGCTGAATTTAGGCAGATCTTATTTAGCTTAGGGTTTTATTTTAACGTTGGAATGAGGAAAATACTTTAAGTACTAGGAGTGACAGAGCTTAGTTCAGCTGAGGAGAGGAAGCCCTGCCGCCTGCAGCATAGCAACCTCCAAGATGCCACGGGAGCTTGCAAACTTTTGAGCAGGCAGTAGAAAGGGTTAAAAACTCAGGGAGTGTGGCTTAGGGAAGGAAGAAAACCTTGTCACCAAGAGGGGAAAGGGGCAGGTAAGGGCTGATTCAGGGAAGGATGAGTCATTGAACAAGGACTTACCTGATGACACTTGTCTTTTGAAAATAGAGGAATGGGGGTGGGGGGCTATGAAATAGAGAGCGTTTCACTCTTCCCAAGACAAATACTGAATAGCTACAGTATACACCCTGATGAGAACACACACACACACACACACAACAACAACAACAACAACAACAAAAATAGACCATCTTGGCCTTTATATGGCCCAGCGGTTCTCAACCTTCCTAATGCTGTGACTCTTTAATGCAGCTCATCATGTGCTGATCCTCAATCATAAAATTAATATCATTGCTACTTCATGACTGTAATTTTTACTGTTATGAATCGTAATGTAAATATCTGTGTTTTCTGATGGTCTTAGGTGACCCCTGTTAAATGGTCGCTGGACCCAAAAGGGGTCATGACCTACGGGTTGGTATAGCCTAAAGTCTAGAAACTAGAACATAACAAGCTAGCAAGGTAAATAACCAGGACAATACAGTGTGGCAAATGCCAGGGAATGACCGAAGAGGCCTTACAGACATTTGGTTTAGAAGGAATGTATAAGAAGATCATCACTAATGGCCCTGGGGGCAGCAATGAATGTGAGTAGAATGAAGCCAGCCAGGTTCCGGAAGTGTGTCCTTGCTGATCCTTGCAGAGGAGTCTTGTGGATAGGAGAGAGGACTCACAGCCTAGAGACGGGAGAAATAACACAAAGTGTTCACTGTGAGTCTCTGAGCCAGAAGCCTTGAGAAAGATCAGAATTTAATTAAACGTGAGAGGTATCTCAGGCTTTTAGGTATAGAAGTTGCCACATCCATGAAATATGCACAGACATCCCCTGAGCAGTACCAGCTATGCCTTAGAATGGCATAGAATGTCTTCAGAAACACTCCCCTCCCCCATGCCTGCTCCCTTGCTGCAGACAATGTGCTGTGATTAATCTGCAACCAAGATTCAAGTTTGCCGTGCTGGCTGCTCGTCTTTGAACTTATTGCTGACCTGGCGAGGTGACCCTGCAGCTGAGGATGGAGACGTAGGCCCTAGGTGGATCCACAGCCAACTCCTTGTGCAGCCTCCCAGACCTGAGCCTCCAGCACCCTGTCAACAGCACTTTCATGCTGGGATGTGGCTTGGTTGCCTTTTAAAAACCATCTTTAGAGTGTTTTGCCAAGGAGGGGTTCAAGGTAAGAGGCACCACTAACTCCCTGACCTTGGAGAAACCACCATAAGCCAGACTCTTTCCTTAAGTGCCTGGCATTCTCAGGTACAATCATGGCATAGGGGCCCAGAATATGGTACTGGCAGTGTGCATTTCCACAATAGAATGGAGGTTCAGGAGCCCACCTACACACACATGCATGCAGGCACCCACGTACATGCTCTGTGAAAAACCTTGTTTCTGTCCTGGCCCAAGACTGAGCTCCAGCAGGGAGCAGACCTGCCTTAAGTGTGCACAAAGTCCTGTACACAGCTGCTCTGCCTTCTCCTGCTGGCACAATCTTGCCCTACA